GCATTATATATATATATATACATATATATAGATATGTGTGTGTATTTATTTAGAAAATATCTATATTTGCATATTTGTGGGCGCGTGCGCGCGTGCATGCGCGTATATATGTATGCGTATGTGTGTAGGTTGTTGGGGCCCCTAAACCCTATAAACCCGGAACCCTGAACCCTATGAACCCTGAACCCTGAACCCTGAACCCTAAACCCTAAACCCTAAACCCTAAACCCCATGAACCCTCTAAACCCCACCAGACCTGGCAGGGCAGGCAGGTCGGGTCATCAGGCTGCCGATGACCACTGAAATCCTACATCCTATCTCACGTGTGCTTAGGGGTTCTGCCTTGGCCCTTAAGGTTGCTTTCTTGGGTTTTGGGGTCCCTCTTATGGATCCCTAAGGGAATATGAGGGCCACGTTAGGAGTATATCAAGGGGACCCTTTAGGGGCACAGCCATAGGGGTAGGAGTCTTCATCCCATGACTATGGGCCTCGGCAGCAGTGCGTGACAGTTCTGTGCGCATCATAAACTCAGGAATATATACACGATGGATTGCGGGCAGGAGAAACCCTAAACCACCCAACCCTAAACCCTAAACCCTAAACCCTAAACCCTAAACCCTATGTGCTGCAGGATCCCGGCACTTTCGGTGGGGGCCGGCGAACTTCAATTCCAGAGCTTAGGAGTTGGTTACCTAGACACAAAGATTAGCCTTGGGTTTAGGGTTTAGGGTTAGGGTTTAGGGTTTAGGGTTTAGGGTTTAGGGTTTAGGGTTTAGGGTTTAGGGTTTAGGGTTTAGGGTTTAGGGTTTAGGGTTTAGGGTTTAGGGTTTAGGGTTGGTTACCTAGACCCAAAGAGTAGCCTAGGAATAGAACGGGCGCCCGGTTTTGGCTGAAAGGGGCTTCTCAGGGAACCTAAACCCTGAACAAAGGGAATAAGGGCCTACTCTGGGTCCCAGCCCCAGACCCTAAACCAAAAACCCTCAAAAGGGGGGGGGGGGGGGGGGGGGGGGGTAGGTTTTAGGGTTTAGGGTTTAGGGTTCAGGGTTCAGGGTTTAGGGTTTACTAAAATCCTACAATCCTAAAATGCTAAAATCCTAAATCCTAAAATCCTAAAATCCCAAAATCCTAAAATCCTAAAATCCTAAACCCCTAAACCTTTTCTACAGCATGCCGTAGTGTGGCAGGTTTCAGGGTTTGGGGTTTACGGTCTGCTTCACTCGTGGTACATGCCTAACAAGGACGTTCGGTGGAACCCAGGGTTCAAGGAAGTTCATGAAACAGCCCAGGAAGGCCAGCACCAATTTTTAGGGTCTGCTTTGGGGTTTAGGGGTGTTCGGGGTGTTCGGGGTGTTCGGGTTTAGGGTTTCGGGTTTAGGGTTTAGGGTTTAGGGTTTAGGGTTTAGGGTTTAGGGTTTAGGGTTTAGGGTTGAAGGTTCAGGGTTGTTAAGGGTACGGAATTTTGCTGCGGGCGGTTGTGCAAAGAGACCATTGCGTGGAGAAATGGCTGCCAGCAACTGAAGTGAGAGACTGCAGGCGATAGGATTTATGTTTTAGGGTTTAGGGTTCAGGGTTCGGGTCCTAAGCCCCGAATTTAGGGGGTTTAGATGGGGTTAGGGTTTTAGGGCTTAAAACCCTCAATCCTATATTATAAACCCTACATTTAACCCCTAAACCCTAAACCCTAAACCCTAAACCCTAACCCCTAAACCCTAAACCCTAAACCCTAAACCCAAGATGCGACTCCTGCGCACAGCGGGCTCCTGGCATAACAGCTCGGGTTAGACCTCCGGCCTTGCCATAGCTGGATGCCGCGCGCTGCTGAGAGGTTGACCCTAACCCTAAACCTAAACCCTAAACCCTAACTTTGAGGGACTTCGGACTGCAGCGTTTTTACAGGGGGATCCAGGTTGAAATGGTGTGTGTCCAGGGCGTCTACGGTTTAGGGGTTCAGGGGTTAGGGTTTAAGGTTAAACGCTTGGCGTGTATACGTATGCATATATATATATATATATATACATATATATATATATATATGAGTTATATACATATATATATATATACTGGAGCAATGTCTATGATGTACAATTCTCCATAGCCCAACAACAAGGCACCGCCGGTTTCTGTGATCCATACACCCCCCCCCCCCCCCCAACCCCCCCCACTCTTCTCTTCCCCCGCCCCCCACCCCAATTGAACGTGTCCTCGAAAACGCACTTTTTTGGTGTAGAAAAGTGCGTTTCCGATATGCTTTTTTTGGTCAGGTCAGCGAGGAAAGCAAGCGAGCCCATCTTCGAAAATGCACTTTTTTCATGTGGAAAAGTGCGTTTCCGGTATGATGTTAAAGTTTGTGTGTGGCTGAAGCACTCGAACGTGTCCTCGAAAACGCACTTTTTTTGTGTAGAAAAGTGCGTTTCCGATATGTTTTATTTGGTCAGGTCAGCGATCCATCCCCGACCCGTCTTCCATCTGTCTCTCCACTCACACACAATGGCGAGAGAAAGGTTGTGGGGGGGGGGGGGGGGGGGAGAAAGTTGTTGGGGGGGGGTGGTGGGGAGAAAGGTTTGTTGGGGGGGGGGGGGGGGGCGGTGGTGGGGGGGGAGAGAAGAGCGGGGGTGGTGGGGGCGGGGTGTGGGGGTGGGGGGGGAGCAGGGGGGGGAGGGGGGGGGGGGAGGGGGGGGGTTGGGGGGGGGGGGGGGGGAGGGGGGGGGGGGCGGGAGGGGGGTGGGGGGGGGTGTATGGATCACAGAAACCGGCGGCGGTAACAACCTGAACATTTCTACATGCCTCCTCAGACCATAATGCAAGCCCAAGGAATGCCAAACATTCTCTTGGACGCGAAATAAACAGAATTGAACATCATTCCAAAGTGGAACAGGGTTTCGGGTTTAGGGTTTAGGGTTTACGGTTTAGGGTTTATGGTTTGTCTAAATTTCAGGTTGCGCGCGTGCGCTAAGATCTCGGATTAAGTTGGCTTGAGATAGATATCGATAAGATAAGGATTCGTTTGTGTCTCGCATCGGGCTTCAGCAGAAAGCGCGGCATGCACTGTTCATAAAGCGGTTCCCAGCACCTCGAGCAATCCCCACGTGGGACTGCCCACGCTTCAGAATACTCACGTGGCAGCACAGGGCCACAAGCTCGAATCAACTTGTCACCGCCCAAGGTTTAGGGTTTAGGGTTTAGGGTTTAGGGTTTAGGGTTTAGGGTTTAGGGTTTAGGGTTTAGGGTTTAGGGTTTAGGGTTTAGGGTTGATGTGCGTAGAGAAACCCTAAACCCTAAACCCTAAACCCTAAACCCTAAACCCTGAACCCTAAACCCTAAACCCTAAACTGGAATGAACTTGGTGGTGGGGCGGGGTGTCCTGCTGCAGAAGCTCGTGAAACAAGCAATCAACCCAGGAGAGCATTTTTACGTCCCCTGGGTTGGGCCAGTACCCGAAGGGTCCTAAGCACCAAAAAGGGTTTAGGGTTTAGGGTTTAGGGTTTAGGGTTTAGGGTCCTAAGTACCTTCTTAGAAGAATGTTGGGCTTCTGAATTAAGAATTAAGGGTCCTAAGTAATTACCGATATAGTGGCATGTAGGGCTTCTATGTTAAGAACTACTACTCTGATTTGGGGAAGTGTCCGCCCCATAGCAGTACCTCGGACCCGTCGGGGTAGGCCTCCGATTTCTTGGAAAGCGCTTCGGGTCTAGGGTTTAGGGTTTAGGGTTTAGGGTCCTTTCTTTTTGCAGATCGCATGGGGAGTGCAGCAATGACATCCACGGCTGCCAACCTGCGACTGGATGATCTCAAGCCCCCCTGAACAGTTTAGGGTTTAGGGTTTAGGGTTTAGGGTTTAGGGTTTAGGGTTTAGGGTTTAGGGTTTAGGGTTTAGGGTTTAGGGTTTAGGGTTAGGGTTTAGGGTTTAGGGTTTAGGGTTCAAGGTTCAGGATCCCAACCCGAAACCCTGAACCCAAGACCCGGTAGCCCCCATTCTGCATCTCTGCACCAGGCGAACCCCTATCCCTTGAATCCTGACGCCCGACCCAATTGGATTATGCAAACAGCTCCGATTATGTATGTATATATATATATACATTGATTTCATTCATATTTATATCTATATTGATACTTATATTTATGAGCAACCTACATAACCTATGTAGCCTATATACCCCTGAAGAAAGGAGATATACCCATGATGAAGGTACGTCCCCCTTTTAAGTAGGGCACGAATAATGCTGAGGGATCTATACATGCACACGTTACATATATATATATATATATGTGCACATATATCTTTGCCCTGAACCCTAAACTAATTAGACCCTAAATAGGCCTCAATTTTCCGGATTCTTCAAGCTGGGTTTTCGGTGCCGGAGCTTTTCAGGGAAACCCGCCCACTGTACGACAGATGTCGATGACCCCCAGGATTTCGGGTCGAGGGCTTAGGTCTGGGTGGTCAGAGTGCAGGGTTTGGGGTTTAGGGTTTAGGGTTTAAGGTTTAGGGTTTTTTAGGGTTTAGGTTTTAGGGTTTTTAGGGTGAGTGCGTGCATATTGCCACCAGCACCCCGCACGCCCTGGCGGCAAGAACGCACCGCGACAAAGAAAAGACTTGACGTAGCTATTGGCACATGTCCGGCTTTCAGCGTATTTGAAGGGCTACTGTACAGGTCTACGTCTCAGATGCTGTAGCAAACGCTGTGCATCCCATGCAAACATGCAACACAAATCAGCTCCACAATTGGAGAAACCCTTTCTATGGCCCTAAACCCTAAGCCTGTTGAAGCTACACGTGAAGAATGTCAGTACCAAAGCCTAAGGCCTGTAAATCCTAAGCCCAAACCCTAAACCCAAACCCTAAACCCTAAACCCTAAACCCTAAACCCTAGACCCTACACTCTAAACCCTAAACCCTAAACCCTAAACCCTAAACCCTAAACCCTAAACCCTAAGCCTAACCCTTAAGCCTACGCTGAAGAAACCCCGACCGCCGCCTTGTGTTGCGAAGGACAAGCTCCTCATGCATAGGCACCTGGGATGTGGGCCAAGGGTTGGTTTAGGGTTTAGGGTTTAGGGTTTAGGGTTTAGGGTTTAGGGTTTAGGGTTTAGGGTTTAGGGTTTAGGGTTTGAAGTTGGGGGTGTGGGGCTGTGGGTTTTAGGGTTTCGGGGCTTTCGGCTAAGGTTACGGGTTTGGCCGCCCGACGGTTGTAGGGCATTGCAGGGAATGTTTTGTAGAATGATCTTGATTCCAAATGTCAGGGTTAAGAGACTCAGACTGGGAACCCTAAACCCTGAACCCTGAACCCTAAACCCTGAACCCTGAACCCTAAACCCGGAACCCTAACCCCTAAACCCTGAACCCTAAACCCTTTCTTGTTTGTCTTAGTGTTTAAACCCCAAACCCTAGACGCTGAAGGGCCAGGGCTTGGGCCTTCCTCTCTGAGCTGCCAGCAAACTGAATGCAAAGCTAGCAATGACTCTTACAGGTGCCCCACGGTGGCCCCACGCCAGTGGATGTCAGCCGACATATTTCACAAGAAGATGTACGTATATGCAAAGGTCTGCAAGCCAAGAGTGGCATGACCAAACCGGAATCCGAATCCTCGCTCATCTGCTCGCCCCTGGGTGTATAGAAGTTGTATAGGGGTCGTGTCCGGAGTCTTAGACGGGTGTTGGGGGCGAAAGTTTTGGGCGGTTCTTTTGGGGTGGCTTTTGGGCGAAAGTTTTGTTCTTGCTTATTGGGGAGTTTTGGAGCCTTTCAGGCCTGTGAAGCCTTGTTTAAGTAACTTAAACATCCTTGAAGCCTTGTTTAAGTACATTGAACATCTTAGAAGCCTATTGTTCAAGTAAATTGAACATGTGGCCTCCAGGGACATTTTGGATGGACGGGCTTTGTGTGGAGCCAGTTTGTTTCGACAAAGAGCTTTGCAAATTGTAATGATCTCATATACAATGTCTACATATCCTGGTCTTTCGGGATGGGGGTTTAGGATTGAGGGTTCAGGGCTACTAAACCAGGTTTAGGATGTAGGGTTTAGGGCTACTAAACCTTAAGCCAGGTAAGGCCTATAAACCCTAAACCCTAAACCCTAAACCCTAAACTCTAAACCTTAAACCAGGACGAGCTTCAGCGATCAACGCAGCAGCGCAGAGCATCCTACGACAGCGGAGCAACGACTACTTGTTCCCTCTGCCAGGCCCCGAGGGTTCATCAGCTGTAGGGCTTACTGCGTGGAAGGGGTTTAGGGTTTAGGGTTTAGGGTTTAGGGTTGTGGGTTGTGGGTTGTAGGGTGTGGGTGGAGGTTTTTGAGGGTTCAAAGGGTGGAGGGTTAGGCGAGATTAGGGCTCCCGTGAGCCGAGAGGGTCTGAGGACTGGTCACGCGGGTCTCAGAAAGCCTACCGCACAGGGCTTTAGGCTACGGAATTTGATTTGGCACTGACCTTTTTGGCACCCTAAACCCTAAACCCTAAACCCCCTGAACCCTAGAATGGTAGGAAGAGCGCTTCGGAGAAAAATGGCTGTCCTCGAATTCCGCATGGCTGCACGAAGCAAGTAGCACCTCCACAACGCGGCAAGGCCAAGGGTAGAAAAGCGGCTTAGGGTTTAGGGTTTAGGGTTTAGGGTTTAGGGTTTAGGGTTTAGGGTTTAGGGTTTAGGGTTTAGGGTTTAGGGTTTAGGGTTTAGGGTTTAGGGTTTAGGGTTTAGGGTTTAGAGAGCTCGCCTATGATCTGAGCTCACGTTGCAGGGCTGTCTTTGCCCAAACGTTCCTGAAGACCTAATATAGGGGCCTTAAACAACAGAATAGCTTTTGCTTTCTTTGGGGGGGGAGTTATTGGAGTATAACTATATAGGGACCATAACTACTGGTAATTATTCCGACCCCTATAGTAAGCCCTACGTGACTCCTACATTATGCTAGAAACACTGAAGCTGTGTATCCCTAAACACCAAACCCTAAACCCGAAACCGTTGGCTGAGGGGGGTGGCCTCGACCGGACAAGCCGCAGAATGACGTGTGCGCGGATCTTGCGGGGGCTGTAGCCATTCAAGCTCACCCTAAACCCTAAACCCTAAACCCTAAACCCTAAACCCTAAACCCTAAACCCTAAACCCTAAACCCTAAACCCTAAACCCATACCAAGAACAGGGTAAAAAAGGGAGAAGGGTACCGCTGGGCTAACAAGACCTCCCTCCCGCCCCGACCTTATCTACAATGTCAGCTGTGCCGACGTCGGAATCCCAGCAAGAGGCATCCTGGGAAGGGTTTAGGGTTTAGGGTTTAGGGTTTAGGGTTTAGGGTTTAGGGTTTAGGGTTTAGGGTTTAGGGTTTAGGGTTTAGGGTTTAGGGTTTAGGGTTTAGGGTTTAGGGTTTAGGGGGGGACCGAATATAATTCCCTCCGGCTCAAGCACCGCATCAGCCCAAGTACATCTCTCAACCCACTCTACACTCCAAGGACATGGGCAGAAAAGGGTTTAGGGTTTAGGGTTTACGGTTTCGGTTTCAGGGAAGTTTGTCAAAAAAAACAGGAAAACGCTTCTAGCCATGCTCCACCTTGAAGCCTAAGCCCTAAACCCTAAACCCTAAACCCCCTAAGCCCTACAAGAGAAGCAGAGGGCCCACCACGAGGGCCCACGTCTAGAAGGACTTATGGACTTTAGGGTTTAGGGTTTAGGGTTGAAGGTTGCCCCGAAGCTCTACCCGGCCATGGAAACGCGGGTGCCGACTTGCCCGAGTAGGTCCTCTGGTTGCTGGGGCGAAGAATTCAAGAACAAAGGCGCCCTAAACCCTACACAAGCCCTGAAGCCCTGGACCCTTAACCCTTCCTAAGCCCTAAGCCCTAAAGCCCTGAACCCAAAAAAACAAAGATCCTAAAAGGAGATCAGACAAGGCTCGATCACATAGGGAAATCGCCCTCTCCAGACTTCCGGAAATTGCTCTAACCAGCTTGCCTGCTGCTACTTAGAGGTTCATGGTACCGTTTAGGGTTTAGGGTTTAGGGATTAGGGTTTAGGGCAACTGTACTTATAATTGTACTTATAACCATATGAGGGCACTTAAGGGGCTTATAAGTAGGTTATAAGTACAGTACCATGAACCTCCAAGCATGTGCAGAGGGTTTGGGGCGGCGGCGGTCCACAAACCCTCAACCCTCAACCCAGTCTGCCACCTGCAACAGAGTTTAGGGTTTAGGGTTTAGGGTTTAGGGTTTAGGGTATACCACTGTAACCCGGAATAAAGTCAAGGCAACTCAAAACGCGGATCTTCTGAAAGAGGACAGCCGCAGATTACCGCAACACCCGGAACCCACAACCCCATAAGCCCTAAACCCACCCGACGTTGGACAGCGGATCTTGTTCTGCTTTCTTGCGAGGTTTGGGAGCCCAGACACGCTTGTGGGGTTTGCTTTGTGTCGGGTTTAGGGCTTGGAGGATTTGCTCCCGATGTTGTTCGCGGAATCAGCCCTAAACCCTAAACCCTAAACCCTAAACCCTAAACCCTAAACCCTATGGGGGCCTGCGGGCAGCAGAGGCCCTGTACCCCTCAGCAACCCGGGCCCTCAAAAGCCAGAATTTCTGGGCCCTCCACCCCCCAAAAAACCCAAAACCCGACGGTAGAACTTATTGAGTTTAGGGTTTTAAACCCTAAACCCTAAACCCTAAACCCTAAACCCTAAACCCTAAACCCTAAACCCTAAACCCTAAACCCTAAACCGGGCCTAGGGTTCGTCTACAAAGGCACTGCCGCGAAGGGGCCTCGCCAACGATGACAGCCTCATCAGGGACTGCAGGGAAGGGCGGGATCGGGTAGCACACAGACAGGCCAACAATTGGGGTTTAGGGTTTAGGGTTTAGGGTTTAGAAGATGGGGTCAACACTTAAAGCTAGCATTGAGAATCTATGACATCTCACCGTCCTGACGAAATGGCCCGTTTCAGGGCACTTTTGGCACGTAACAGCTACACACCTGAGCACTGGCCCGTCCACCTCGGTCTTTTAGTACACTTCTCGATTTGTTTCCCACTCAGCTTAGAGTAATAGCCTTTGCCGAAGGCGCGACAAAGCCCTTTATGCAACATCACAGGTAACTGCAGCAAATGCTAAAGGTTTAAGCCAGCATGACCTGCCAGCCCTAGTACCCAAACCCTGAAACTTAAACTCTAAACCCTAGATCACCCTTAAACCCTAAACCCTAAACCCCAAACCCTAAACCCTGGCAGGGGCCACCGGGAAACTTTCACATCATGGGCATCCAGGTTTTGCCCGCCAGATGAAAGGGGTTTTATTTAACCTGGACCAGAGGATGCTGACACTAGGGATTGGGGTTTGGGGTTTAGGGTTTAGGGCTTGGGGTTTGGAGTGTAGGGAGTTGCCCCACACCCAAACCCCTGAAGCCCGAAACCCTAAACCCCCAGAAGCCATCGTCATCCAAAGGGAAAGGGACAACGGAAGCCGTTCCTCACACCACCCACCCACCAAGATGTCTCATGCGGGGGGTTCCCATAAAAAGGGGCACCGCCCTTTTACAAGCGCCAGTCTTGTTATGGGAAGCCGAAAAAAGGACCCCTAAACACATACGGGAGTGTCGAAAAACATAAGGGACCCCTAATAATAATAAGAAGAATAATAAGAAGAATAATAATAGTAATAATAATAATAATAGTAATAATCATAATAGTAATAATAATAATAATAGTGATAATAATAATAATAATAATAATAGTAATAATAAGAAGAAGAAGAATAATAATAAAGACCCCCAACTAGTAGGATCCCCTTATCATAGGATGACTTCCGAGCCCCTCCAAAAAAGTTTTACGTTTAGGCTCCTTATTGTAGTTTAGGGTTTAGGGTTTAGGGTTTAGGGTTTAGGGTTTAGGGTTTAGGGTTTAGGGTTTAGGGTACAAAATCCCAGAAGGCTAACGTCCTAAGGGCCAGCAAGAAGAAAGCCAAATAAAACCAGAAACCCCCCATATTGTCCAGTGCTGACACACTGCCACAGGGCCAACGTGGCCGACACAAGACCTTTATGTGAAGCTCACAGCCAAAAGGAAAGAAAAGCGCTCAGTATCTTAGAGGGTTTCGGGTTTAGGGTTTAGGGTCCACTTATAGCACGATTGTACGACTAGGCGTACTCACAGGAATAAACAGGTCGCGTAAACAGCATCGGGGTTTCACAACTTATAAAAGTTCGCGGTGATAAGCCCCCGTCTTCAACAACCATGGCATCCATTGGAATGTCTTGAAGACTGCGCGCTCGACAGTCCGGGGTGTAGGTTTAGGGTTTAGGGTTTAGGGTTTAGGGTTTAGGGTTTAGGGTTTAGGGTTTAGGGTTTAGGGTTTAGGGTGTAGTATAATTTAGGGTTTAGGGGCGTAAGCACCAGCTAAACCTGCCTTCCGAGAAGCTAGTGGTTTTGTCAGGTTCGAGACGACCGCCTTCTCCACCGCGCAGACTAAGTCCTGTTTGCAGCCAAAGACTCTTTGGGCTTAGGGTTTAGGGTTTAGGAGAATAAACCCTAAACCCTAAACCCCTGAACCCCTAACGCCTGAACTCCTAAACCGTTTGTATTTCTGGGCCTTAGGCCTTAGTCCCCTGAAGCTTGGCAACGCAGGATTCATAACCATAGAGCAAGACCCCTCCCGATATTTATCCACCGATATATACTCCCCTTACAAACCAGTGAACACAAGCACGCCTACATACGTACTCCCGGTTTAGGGTTTAGGGTTTAGGGTTTAGGGTTTTCTAGTTCATGAACAACAACTACAGCGATATGCAGCGGTTATGAACAACCGCTTCGCCATACCAACGCCCTCCTGTTCCACCGTGTTTCTGTACTTTGAGACCAAAGCTCGCAGAGTTCGCAGATTCCGTTTAGGGTTTAGGGTTTAGGGTTTAGGGTTTAGGGTTTAGGGTTTAGGGTTTAGGGTTTAGGGTTTAGGGGGTCCTGGGGGCTGAAATCCTTGAGCCACATGGTGACGCATGTGTCGCTGAAGCCATCTGGCTTCTGTTTCTGATATTCGACTCCCTAAACCCTAAACCCTAAACCCTAAACCCTAAACCCTGATCCTGTGTTTTTCCCCTAAACCATGTTTCAACCCGTACTGAAAACCCACCCTACAGACTGGACCCTAAAGCTTTACACCGCAGAGACTGGTGACCGAGGCGCAGCCGAAGACACACATACGATGAGATCATCTTCACCTTGAGATGGTGGGCTTTTAGGGTTCAGGGTTTAGGGTTAGGGTTTAGGGTTTAGGGTCTAGGGTCTAGGGTTTAGGGTTTCGGGCTTAGGGTTTAGGGTTTAGGGTTTAGGGTTTAGGGTTTAGGGCCAACGGAGGTCTCAGAACATATTCTGCCGTGCTTCCCTCCTTCCTCCTTCAGGGCTTGAGAAACCCTTGAGACTTGAGACCCTTAAACCCTTGAGCCCCTAAACCCTTGAGACCCTAAACCCTTGAGACCCTAAAACCCTTGAGACCCTAAACCCTTGAGACCCTAGGCCCTAAACCCTTGAGACCCTAAAGGCCTTGCCGAATCTTGTCGACGAAGCCTTGTGCCTTGTCGACGAAGCCCGAAGCCCGAAGCCCGAAGCCCGAAGCCCGAAGCCCGAAGCCCGAAACCCGAAACCCTAAACCCTAAACCCTAAACCCTAAACCCTGCACTTGAGAAAATGGGGCCCAACTGGCGCCGAGGCACCAAGCCCAGACATGGCCGCGTGCCTACAGAGTGTTTAGGAAGGGTTTAGGGTTTAGGGTTTAGGGTTTGGGGTTTAGGGTTTAGGGTTTAGGGTTTAGGGTTTAGGGTTTAGGGTTTAGGGTTTAGGGTTTAGGGTTTAGGGTTTACGATGTATAGGGTGTAGGGTTTAGGGTTGAGGGTCACATCTCTAAATTAGGGTTCCTGTTGGGCGGTCGCTATTGAAGGTGGCCCATAAGATTTAGGGTACCCAAAAAGGGGACCAGAATGTTGAGAAGTGACCATATAGGCTTGAGGGTCCATTTGAAGCAGAATGGGTACTTTGGGCAGTTTAGGATTTAGGGTTGTTTTAGGGGTTTAGGCTTTAGGCTTGGGGCTGCGCGTGTTCGTATCGTGTAGGAGGTAGCCTGGGGATCGTGTTGGTACATATATCTAGCGTTTTGCCGGGGTGTTCGGTTTGGATAGGGGCTTTTTGGTCTGTCTTTTTGAAGGGGGGGGGGGGGTGCTTGGGACTTCAGGCCTACACTGACCCCCTACCAGCCTATGTAAATGATTAGTCCTCGCAAACCACTGCTGATGCTGCAGAAACGCAAGTGATCCTATAGTAAGAAACGACGCACTTTGAGGTTTGCGTCCGGGTTGCCTCCCTAAACCCTAAACCCTAAACCCTAAACCCTAAACCCTAAACCCTAAACCCTAAACCCTAAACTGAAGGTCTGGGTTGCGGAAGGGCAAGTTCAATTTGCTGGGGCTTCCACAAGGTTCGCCTATAACTTAGCTTCATAGAATGCAAAGGTTGGGGTTCAACAGCTACATGGGGTTCCATCGCCTAGCTACATGGGAGGCAAAGGTTGGGTTCCATGGGTTTCCGTAAGGTTGGCCTGGCTTCACGGCTAACCTTCAACTGGGAGTTGGGAGTTCATGGGTATACGTCTTAGGCAGAACGGCTTACTGGCTCACATCTCTGTTGTTAAGAGGGTCAAGGCTTGGCTTCACACACCTTAAACCCTAAATAAACCCTAAACTCCCAAATCCTTGTTTAAATCATCTCTCTCCCCCCCAAGTTACAAGTCATGAGGGCCCGAAACTGGGTTGTAAGGATCTTAAATTCGGTTAAGACCCTTCACTCTAGTTCGTACGGTAAGGGGGCCCTTCCTTGTTTATGAAACCTGGTGTGGGGGGGGGGGGGGGCTTTTTAGGTGTTGGGGCGGGCCTTACGGTTTCTGGCTTGCAACACCAGGAACAAAAGGCTCCACCCCGCTTGCAATCACATACCCCATGGACCTCTTGAGCCCTCAGCCCCTGCACCCCGCGTAAACCTTGACCCTTAACCCTGAAACCCTAAGAGCCCTAAGCCCGAAACCCCAGTTCAGGGTCTGTACGGCCTGCGGAACCTCCAACTCATCAACCCTAAACCCTTTCCTCTCAAGCCTAAACACTAAACCCTTTTGCTGCCGGGCTGTTGCAGTAAACCCTAACCCTAAAACCCTAAACCCACAAACCTAAGAGGGGTTGAGGCGAGGCCTAAACCCTAAACCCTAAACCCTAAACCCTAAACCCTAAGCAATTTTTGCAGCAGAAACCCTAAACCCTAAACCCTAAACCCTGAACCCTGAACCCTGAACCCTAAACCCAATTCCGAGCTCCAGCCTCTCGAAGGCCATTCGGCTGCATCCTTCCTGGCGTGGTTTGCTTCGAGTCTTGAGGGGACGTCTTGAGGTGGAAGGTGGGTTTGGGGCTTTAGGGTTTATAGGGTTTGTAGGGTTTGGGGCTTTAAGGCTTCTAGGGTTTAGCGGTGGAAGGGGTGTGGGGTTGGGGGATGCTAAGATTCTAGGGTACTTGGAGAGGGTGTCTGGTGGGGTAGATTTGTAGGCGCGGCCAGCTTAGCTTGGGGTTTGGATTTTATTGGCGCAAAAACGCCCTGTCCATGTGAGTCCGAAGCCCGATCCCGATTGTGTTCGCAATCGACTGGTGCACGAAAGATCAGCCGCGCGTGTCTCCTTGACCTCCGAGACACCCACAAGCTCCGACACATGACCTGGACGACAGGTGAATGCGAAGCTGTCACTTCCACTGAGTCACGGACTCGCTTAAGGAGGCTTGCCATTCCTGACAAGTTCGACTCAGGGATTGCTTGGTAGGAGAACGCTGCCGCCAAGTCCAGATACTTTGCTTTGATTGCAACATCGAGCACGCCCCGTGTGGGCTGTGAGCTAACGCCACAATTTCGGCTGGGTCGTCGCGAAGAGCCTCGTAAGGGTTCAGGGTTTAGGGCCCCCCAAGTTGTAAGTAGAGATACAAGGGCCCTAAATTGGGTTATAAGGATCCACAAATTGGGTTCTACGTCCCTTATTCTAGTTGGTATAGTAAGGGGGCCCCCCCTGTAGGGCTTAAGGTCTAGCAGGAAGGGCTGAGTACATGACTAAATCAAACCTGAAAGGCCTTAAAGCTTAGGGGTTGTTGGTCTATATGTACCTCATTACAGAGTCCGACGCGACAAAGAAAGCATAGCTTCATGATCTTCACTTGTTGAACTCGTAGCCCACGATGGCTTCAAGAGGTGAAAGACATTCAGTAGAAAAGGCATCGTGGCCCGATGATTCCCTGGCAAAGGCATCGGCGCCCCGGCGTGAAGTGCGGGTTTAGGGTTTAGGGTTTAGGGTTTAGGGTTTATGGTTTAGGGTTTAGGGTTTAGGGTTTAGGAACCTACAACTACCCTATGTGCACCGGCACCTCCAATCCACTAAATCCGGCCACCGGGTACCCCCTATATACTACCCGCCGACCCCCCACCCACTCCCTCTTAGGTTCCCCCCATCATCAAGGCCATTTAGGGATAACTATACGCTTACTTAAGGGGTTTTACGGGGAAACCTAGCGGGGGTACGTAGTAGAAACGTGGAGCAGTAGGGAAAGCCATGATATGTCTAGCCGCTAGCCTGACGAGTGATTTAGTTTGTCGATTTCTTGAACCAGCTCAGCCCAAAGAAAGCATCCAGGCTCGTTTGAAACATCTAGGCCTCCTAAACCCTAAACCCTAAACCCTCTGTTGAGGCACCCTCTGAGGGAACAAAAGGAGGGGGTGGGGGGGCAGAGCCTTAAACCCTAAACCCTAAACCCTAAACCCTAAACCCTAAACCCTAAACCCTAAACCCTAAACCCTAAACCCTAAACCCTTCCCTACTAAACCTTCATCACTGCAGGGATGCCGGTTACAGGTAAGCGCACCCCTAAAACCGAAACCCCGAAACCCTAAACCCTTCGGGTTTAGGGTTTCGGGAACCCTAAACCCTAAACCCTGAACCCTAAACCCTCCCCTAAACCCTAACCCTAAACCTTGAACCCTAAACCCTGAACCCTAAACCCTAAACCCTGGGTAAAAAGCCCTTAGTCCTGAACCCCGCCTCCACTGCGATAATCACATCCACACAGTTGCGGAGGCTCCTCCTAAAAGCCCTACGAAGTTCGGGTTTAGGGTTTAGGGTTTAGGGTTTACGGTTTAGGGTTTAAGGTTTAGGGTCCCGCAGGGATCAGGGTTTTGGGATGCTTTGGTTTAGGGCTTAGAGCTCTCGTGCCAAATGGAAGACGCTTTGTGAGCGGGCACGTTACCACCCACTTGCAACTCTCATGGAGTTAAGTACCCTATACCCTAGACCCTAAACCCTGAACCCTAAACCCTAAGCCCTAAACCTAAACCCTAAACCATGAAACCTGAAACCCTTCTTACTGAGGCCACCGATGAGTTGTGCCACATGGCTTGGAGCACTTGGGGCGCTTGGGGTCAGACTTGGAACACTTGGGTTCTTCTCTGCTCTCCTTAGAGCCTTCATGAAAATAGCATGTTTTAATGTCCTCTCGGCCCTCTTGGGTTTAGGGTTTAGGGTTTAGGGTTTAGGGTTTAGGGTTTAGGGTTTAGGGTTTAGGATGAGCAAAAAATGAAGAATAATTCCCGATGGGGATATGGAATTTGGATCTGGGGCACTTAGGGTCGCCTGGGTCACCTAGGATAGGATACGTGGCACACGTTCGCCACCACTGTGAACACGTGCATCGCTTGGGTCACTGGGGACACTTCATCCCCTCGGTCACTTGGGACACTCGGGTCACCTGGGTCACTTGGAGTCACTTGGGTCACTTCCAGTGGTGTGTTACAAGGTTCACTTGGGTCACTCGGGTCACTTAGGCCGTCACTTGGTGAAACTCAAGACACTTGGGACCCTTGTGCCACTTGGGTCTTTTGGAGCACCCCAATCCTTAAACCCTAAACCCTAAACCCTGAACCCAAACCCTAAAACCTGAACCCTAAACCCTAAACCCAAAATCCAAAACCCTGAACCCTGCCCGTATACCCTAAACTTGGAACACTTGGGTCACAGTGGCCGTCACTCGGGACGTGGGGGTCACTTGGGGCACGGTATGGGGGTTTAGGGGTGGTTTTTGGTAAAGGGAACCTATCCCAAGAAAAGTGGGAAAAAAGGGGTCCACTCCATGCGGAGAAGAAGATTCACATTTAGTTTCCGGGGAGGGGCACAGACTTAAAATCCAATCTACGGGCGCCCTATACGCCTAGGAGAATACGAGTGAGCCCCTTCCTCTTTGCCCCTTTAAACCCCAAACTCAACGCAAAAACTCTCGAAAGCCCATATCAACTCTGGAACGGCTTGGGCTTCTTTCTGAACCTATAAAAGCCCGAAACTCTTTACCCCAAACCCTACACCGAACCCCAAACCCTATACCCCCCCAAAACCCTAACCCCCTTTTTGCTTTTTTACTAAACACCCCCATGGAGGATGGCGGCGCCTTGAAACGGGCTCTGTGTCCGTGATGTCGCTCTCTAAAGCAGTCGAGGTTTCAGAACAGTCCTCGAAGCGTGGATTCAGGGATTAGGGTTTAGACTCTCGCACTCGCACACGGCCGGCAGGGTTCTGGGTCCGCAACTTGCACAACCCCAAACCCTAGGGTTTAGGGTTTAGGGTTTAGGGTTTAGGGTTTAGGGTTTAGGGTTTAGGGTTTAGGGTTTAGGGCCTCAACATGAACCATTAAACTCGGATTTGGGCCTTTGTTTTGGCCACCTGTCTTGCCAGCTCCACCGGGCAATGACTATGGCTTTATAGGGCCGGAAAAAAAGACCACGAAGCCGTTTTGTTGGGGCTCACATGATCAGTTCTCTAAAGGAGGGTTGAGGGGGTTTTGTATATGGGTGCTATATTATATAGGGGACCCAAAAAGGGGACCCTCAGTTGGAGAACTACCCCTAAACCCGAAACCCTGAACCTTAAAGACTCTCAGATTCTTGCAACCGCGCCGCGGTCTTCGCACGCATCGCAGGAACAGGTTCGACATCGCCTGGGCTGCGCTGCCGTGGAGGGCTTCGGCTCTCGCGCTCGCAGGGTTTAGGGTTTAGGGTATGTAGGGTTTCGCCAAGAATGCGGGGTTTCTTTGTTTGGGCGAGGACAAGAAGGTGTTCGGGTAGGTAGGATTAAAACAAACCCGGTGCTACTTGGATGCTTTTTTTGGAGGTTTGTGGTGGCTTCTGGGTCTCAAATCTGTCGTATAGGGTGCCAACATGGGCTGGCCTGTCAGCTACCCTATATGAACAGAAACCCGCTTTTTTTTGGGTTCAGAGAGACCCATGCAAGCTAATCCTAAACCCTGAAGCCCAACCCTAAACCCTAAACCCTAAACCCTAAACCCTGAAGCCTAAACCCTGAAGCCCAAACCCTTGCCTTTTAGGGCTGCCATGCCCCCGCAGCCAGGTAGAGTGACTGGGGGGTTTGGGGGCTCAAGGGGCTTTAGCAGTTTAGGGTTTAGGGTTTAGGGTTCAGGATTTGTTTAAAATAAGGGTTCAGTCGCTCAGGGTTGCTTTGGGTTTTGGGGTTTGGGGTTTGGGGTTTGGGGTCGGTTGTTGTCGGAACCCTGAAGCAGGGTTAGGGGGGAGGAGGGTTAGAGGGTTGGGTATTTAAGACGGTTTAAGGGTTTAGGGTTGCTCAGGTGACAAGCGCGCTTTGAGACTGAGGGATTGAAAGTACATGGCCGTGAGGGACTGAAAGCAGAGAACCAGACGAGTATCCTAAACCCTAAACCCTAAACCCTAACCCCTAAACCCCCTAAGCCCTAAAACCTAAAACCTAAACCCTAAGTAGGTGCACCAAAGGGTGCTTTTCTCCTTTCGCAAAGGCCCTGCCTTATCCTTAGGTTTCCTGCCTTAGCTTCGAGTTGCAGGTTCAGCGGTTCAGGGTCTAATCCTGAGCCCAAGCCTCCCAGAATTTCCAAGGTGTCATCCCCAAAAAAAGCACTTCGAGGTTGCCCAGTAACCTAGGTTTAGGGTTTAGGGGTTTAGGGGTTTAGGGGTTTAGGGTTTAGGGTTTAGGGTTTAGGGTTTAGGGTTTAGGGTTTAGGGTTTAGGGTTTTTTTGCTTCAAGGGGTCCCAATGAGAGAACCTGAACGCCCCCCCAAAAGGGGAACAAGGGTACTACTCGGCATCTTCGAATTCATGTCTCCGGCTCGTGAAGGCACCTCTTTCTCTTTGAAGGGGCAGATAAGCTAAAAATTAAAAACCCCCAGGGTTTAGGGTTTAGGGTTTAGGGTTTAGGGCTTAGGGTTTAGGGTTTAGGGTCTCTCAACCTTCAGCCCTAATGAACTGGAGGCAGGCGTCAAGCGGGATGAAGGGCAATGCCTGCTTTGTTCAGCGGACACATGGCTCACGCCGCTTCCGATGGGCCCGCAGACGCAAATTGCGCGTCGTTGGCAGGGAAACTACATAAAGACAAAGAGCTGCGGCGGAAATCTGGGTTTTGTGTAGGGTTTTGGGGATGTTCCCCCTTTTACTAACAGTCCTTCATAGGGATTGTAGTAGGGGTAATTATACTCCCCATTAAGGACTGTTGGTATAAGGGTGAACATCCCAAGTTATGGGCTTCGGGCTCAGGTGGAGAAGTGTTTGCGAGGCCTGGTAGTGCGTGCAGGCTTTTTTGTTCAACCCACAACTGGAATGGCAGATAAACCCCAACATCCTGAATCGATCAGAGCCTTGGTGTGTAGTCTGAGCCCCAAACGATACAGGGGTTTAGGAAAACCGGGGACCCCCTAAAATAGACCCCAACTAGTAGGATCCTTTTATGAGAAGGACCCCAATAAGGCACCCCCGAATATCGTATAAACCCCCCCCATATAGTGGCTCTTAGTAGGGAACGAGACGGAAACAGGCGCCCCACCCCTTAAAAGACATCTTGGTGTAGCCCAGGAACCATTTTAGAATAAGGGTTTTGGGGGTGGTTTCTTGAAAAAAGGCGAAAAAGGGTACCACTGGGCCACCATGGCTTTTCAAGACAAATCTACATATATATCTATCTCTCTCTTTATTTATATTTAATTACCTTTTTTATATTTCTATTTATACTTTGACTTATATTTGTTTACTTATTGATCTATTTATATCCTCGGGGGGGGGTGACATTTAGGTACCTGATTCCCGCACTCCCCGCGAAGAACAGGTCGGAAGCCCTAAAATCTCTGCAGGCATGAGCCGGTGGCTTGACTTTTTGGGACCCTAAACCCTAAACCCCAAACCCTAAACCCTAAACGGTCCGACGCTGGGTTGACTGAACGCCTGATTTGTTTTTTTTCATATCTTGGTTCCTTTGAGGGCTTTATGTAAGGGTTTAGGGTTTAGGGTTTAGGGTTTAGGGTTTAGGGATTAGGGATTAGGGATTTTAGGGTTTGGGGTTTGGAAGCTTAGGGGCTTGAGCTTCTGCGGCCCTTCTTGTTGCACATGCGAGTCCTCCCCCCATCAGAAGCCATAAGAGTCCCCAAGCTAAACCCTAAACCCTAAACCCTAAACCCTAAACCCTAAACCCTAAACCCTAAACCCTAAACCCTAAACTAAGGGGGGGTTCCCAAGGTTACAGTAATACCCCCCCACGCATCCCTAAGGCTCCCTAAGCTTCCCTAAGGTTCCTCCCTTAAGCTGGAACCAAGCCCCTAAACCCTAAACCCTAAACCCTAAGCCCTAAACCCTAAACCCTAAACCCTAAACCCTAAACCCTAAGTTCAGGCTTCAGGGCCCTGCCTCGAAAAATCTTAGGGCTTGGATTCTTGAGAGTAGGGTTTAGGGTTTAGGCTTTAGGGCCTACATGCACCCCCATTTTTTACAGTCCCTAACCCCCTAAACCCTAGACCCTAAACCCTAAACCCTAAACCCTACAGCCATGCAAAGTCCGAAATCCCTGAACCCCAAGACCCCTTTTTCCACCCTGAGGACTGCCACCCCCAAACCCTAAACCTTAAACCTTAAACCTGAAGCCTGAACCCCAAACCCCAAACCCCAAACCCCAAACCCCAAACCCCAAACCCTAAACCCTAAACCCTAAACCCGAAACCCTAAACCCTAAACCGGAACGTACTAGCTGAAGGAGAGTTCGGGAAGTCGGTGCCTGATACTCCCCCCATAAAGCCCTTCAAAGGAGTGTCAACGGCACCTGCCCTAACCCTATAAACCCGTAAGCTCAGAATAGGGTTTAGGGTTTAGGGTTTAGGATTTAGGGTTTAGGGTTTAGACCCTCCTTCCCCAACTCCCCACTAAGAACCGGTAAGAAAACCCATCGATTTCACAAGAACATAGGGGGCCTTGACGTCCCCCGAGGCAAACGATGGCCTGTTCTCTGTTTTGGACTTCTAGGGTTTAAGAGCCCTAAGCCCTAAACCCTAAACCCTAAACTCTAAACCCTAAACCCTAAAGGGCTAAGAGCTTTGGGACACTTTTGGGGGAGACATTATATATATATATATATGTTTTAAAACAAAAAAATTGAGGGGGTTCAGAGGAGGGCTTCACTTTGGGGTGTAAAGGTGGTTGGGCTTTCAAGGGTTTCTTGACATGCTGTTTAGGCTTTAGGGTTTAGGGTCAAGACGGGTTTAGGGCACCCGATCCAGCCTCTCAACGCTCAAGGGAGTCAGACTCGGATGTTGCCCTTCATGTAATCCGAATTTGGCTTGGGATGTTCCCCCTGCTAGTTAGGGTTTAGGGTTTAGGAGTCCTGAATAGGTGGCAGACTGCTGTCCTCCCCGACCCCTGACTGCCACCCTCCTTCACAGGTGGCAGCTCCGTCTGCTCTTCCTTTGGCCCCAGGCCAACAGTCGAAGGAGAGGGCGTTGCGCAGCTTTGGCCTGTGCCTGTGGTAGCAGGAGAAGGCGTGGCACGGGCTGCGATCACTTCGCCTGCCACCGGGGTGCGCCTTGTACGCAGCCAAGATGCGCTCGCCCGCTTGGCCCCATGAGATGGTGTTGTCAGGGGGCGTGCAGGTCGCCTGGCATGCGACTGGAACCTGCCTCGGTGCAGGCGAAGGGCCCAGCCGCTCGTCCCTCGAGCGCCCGGCCAGCTGCTGCTGGCAGTGCTAAACCCTAAACCCTAAACCCTATTGACCCTAATTAGCCCTAACCCCCTAAGCCCTAAAGCCTAAACCCTACATCGCGCTTTAGGCATGCTTCATATAAGCTGGCAGTGCAAAAAACAACCTTGAGCCCTAAAGCCGGGGACTACCCTAAATTTAAACCCTAAACTCTAGACCCTAAACCCTAAACCCTAAACCCTACAACTTAGATCCCAGACACCGGAGAACTCGTCAGCCTCCAGCTGGCCACTTCTGCTGTTGCCATGGCGGGGAGCTTGGGGAAGAGAGGGTTCAGGGTTTTAGGGCTTATAGGGTTTAGGGTTTAGGGCTTATAGGGTTGACATCAACTTGGGTCTTGGGGGTTTTAAGCTGACTTTGCAAGGTTTCCGAGCTTTTCTTTTTTATTGTATAGATTTCTTTTTATATCTTTTTGGGGGGGTGGGGGGGGGGAGTTGAGTTTGAAGGCCGAGGGCCGAGGAGTTTTTGGAGTTGAAAGAACTTGGCTCGAAAGGCTGCAAGAAGCTCTCGTTTCCTGTGGAAGCCCAAAACAGGTTTGGGGTCTAGGGTTTGGGGGTTTGGGGGTTTAGGGTTAGGGTTTAGGGTTTAGGGTTTCGGGTTTAGGGTTTAGGGGTTAGGGTTTAGTGTTTAGGGTTTAGGGTTTAGGGTACCCTAAACCCTGAACCCGAAACGCCCGGTACACCCGAGGCCCGCGGAGTCGGGGAGCTCCGGCTACTCTGACCTCGAACCCGCGTTTCGGGGAACTCAGTGGCTAGGGGTTTAGGGTTTAGGGTTTAGGGCTTTTGCACAGGGGGCAGGGCTATAAGATCTCAAATCCATGGACGTCAAAACCGAGGAAGCTACTGTTAACTCGGCAAAGAGCACGCTTGAGCCCCAACTAAAGCAATCCACCCTCCCCTAAACCCTAAACCCTAAACCCAAAACCCAAAACCCCAAACCCTAAACCTAAACCCTACACCCTCAGACAGCCTTGAGCCGCTACTCCACGAAACTCTCAGAAAGCACTGGAGCACGTTCTGGAAGCGCAGGGGCTCTTTAAGCTTGCAATCGGGTTTAGGAATTAGGGTTTAAGGTTTTGGGTTTGGGGTTTAGGGTTTAGGGTTTGGGGCAACGACCTGCTTGAACCAGACACTGCCGAGGGTAGGTTTAGACGCTAAGCTTCACGTGCAAACAGGAGGCTCACTTGCTCGAAGTATAGTAGGGGAAACACTAAACCCTAAGCCCTAAGCCCTAAACCCTAAACCCTAAACCCTAAACCCTAAACCCTAAACCCTAAACCCTAAACCCTAAACCCTAAACCCTAAACCCTAAACCTAAACCCTAAACCCTAAACCCTAAACCCTAAAGACCAGCCCTCTTGGGGTTGCGGTTGGGCGGGTTTTGGGTAGAGAGCAGCTCGGGGGAGTCTGCGGGGGCTTGTGGGGCCATTTCGAATATGATTATACAGGTTTAGGGTTTAAGGTTTGGGGTTTAGGGTTTAGGGTTTCGGGTTTAGGGTTTAGTGTTTAGGATTCAGAGTTAGGGTTTAGGAGAATTTTTTAGGGCTTAGGGCTTATAGGGCTTGGGGGGCGATAGAGGCAGGTCCCTTGTGAACAAGAAGGGTATTGCAGGGCGTCTGGTTTAGTGAATCTGGACGCGGAGCCTCGGGTCCTCAAGGCTTAGGGTATCTTAGGGTTTAGGGTTTAGCGTCGAGGGTCACTGTTCTAGCATTCACTAGTCATTAGGGGGTTCCAGGCATAGGAACAAACCCACCCACCCAAAGAATCCCATAACATTAAGAAATATAAAATTCACTCAACTACGGTCCTCAAGAACGGTGCCGACGCACCAAAAATGGCTCAAGAACGGTTGCAACCGACGCACCATAAATGGCTCAAGAACGGTGCCGACGCACCAAAAATGGCACAAGAACGGTGCCGACGCACCAGAAATGGCTCAAGAACGGTTGCAACCGACGCACCACAAATGGCTCAAGAACGGTGCTGATTGCACCAAAAGGTGCTCAACAAACAGGGGGGTAAATGCACCAAAAAGTTAATAGGGTTTAAAATCTATAAGGATAGAGAGGGTTTAGGGTTTAGGGTTTAGGGTTAGGGTTTAGGGCCCCAATAGACATCGATCAGCCCGAACACCCGCGGCTTTGAATCGATCTGCACTGGTCTCGCGCGCCGCATGGGCCACGTGCTCGGGAGCCATCACGCTCCGAAGCCTCACGTGAAGGGAGGTTTAGGGTTTAGGGTTTAGGGTTTAGGGTTTAGGGGTTAGGGGTTAGGGGTTAGGGTTTAGGGTTT